TCAGAAAGTAAATTCTGCTGTTAAGAAAAAATACAGGGCATCGACTGAAAAATACAGCACCTGTGAAATAAACTAGCACTATAAAAACAAGATTACAAAGGGAACCGTGTTTATCTTGGGTTTTATGCCGTAAGCATGTGAAAGTGAAAAATAGGTGACAAGTTATTGATAGAATGATGACCTTTTGAATTTGAGTGACATTTGGTGTGGTCAAATACTGTTTGTCCCTCCAGCAAGAAAAAAAAATATAAGTACATTTCCTTTAAAAAAACCTGCAAACCCTAGTCTTCTGTAGTTTTTTTTCCTCAATTATATTTCTTGCGTCATATGCACAATGATCTTGCCCCAGAGATGTAGAATAAAACTTGCATGAGTACAGCTCTAGGATGTACAACCCATCTATCACTCTGATTAGTCCACTTCATTTTGATGTGAACTTTTGCTTTCTCTGCAGTCTAAATGAGTAAGTCATTTAAATTCTTCTGTGATTTTAATTACAGCAGCAACTGCAGTGAGGTAGTGCAAATGCTAGACTGCTTGCCCTTGCTTCTTAGGCTATACTGTCCTGTTTTTTCCATTTGAACTTGGTTTGCTTTTGTGGTAGTTTCAATGCCATTAAAATTATGGATGGAAGGAGCATCTGTGAGAATGAAATTTTGCAGAAGTGCAATAAGTGTGATTATTTTGGTTTTTTTCAGTGTGCGTTTTTTGTTAAAGCACACTGACTTAAACTTGGCCAGTGTCTTTGGTCCCTGATGGTGGGGGAAATTCTGGCCTGGTGAGAATAGGGCTTGTTGGGAGTATGAGGAAGGGAGAGGCTGATTGATGAAGGGTGCCATGTGGCACTATGTGTTATGTTACTATTCATAATAAAGTTTCTACAGTTTTAGTTGAAGACAAACTTATTTCTGGTTATAGAAAAGAATATGTATTCTGCATTCTACTGTTGTCTCTTCCACTCATGAGTCAGCTTTGTTGAATACCATTCTGTCAGTACCTGCATTCCTGGAGGACACTGACTCCGTATTTCAGTCTTTGTAAAACACACGTGATGATTAAGTACATGAAGCCTGAAAATTAAGCAAGCAATGCAGAGACAAAAACTGGGTGTTCTTACACACATGCAAACACCCTTCATTTGGCTTACCTTGTCTGGGAATTTTTTTCTTATTTTGGGAAGGAAGAATATATAGTTACTTAGCTATGGTAGGATGCATCTCATCCAGGAATACAGACTCTTTCTAAGGGTTTTATGGAAGGTGCTGAAGCTTGTGTGAAATGGAAGCTGATGTTTCAGATAACTCTTCATAAGAAGTGGTGGATAAATTTGTAGGGAAAAAAAAGTAGTAAAGAAGAATGAAAATCTGCTGCTTGATACATAATCAAGGTATGCCAGCATGACTTAGACCTAAAGTTTCATTCCAAGAATCTTGTTTTCTTGAATTGCTGTTAAATGATAGACATTCTCCATTTAAAGACAAAAGAAATAATGACATTTAATGTCTCTAATTTACAGTTGCATCATTACACAAACATGATTTCTATTTTAATTCAACAACGTAGATCTTTTGTCAATCATGTGGAACATAACTAATTGACTATAGCAGGATTTATGCTATCACTGGGTAATTATTTGGAAGGATTTGTCATTAAATGTGAATGCCTGAAATCTTTCGTGTTTTAGGATTTTTTCAGTAGAACCATGTCAATCTGAACAACTGCATAATTTGTTTAGTCTCTAATCCTGATTTTGGTAAATATTAGCATTGTTTGGCAAATAATTTCCTTCAAAACAGAGTATCTTGTTTGTATATGGGGGGCTAAGTGATGAAGTTGGCCTATGTGTTTTTTCTAGTTCTTTAAGGAAGCATTATTCCCTAGAAAACCAGATTTGGCAATCTTAGTGTGCACATCAAGTGGTCCTGATGGAAACAAAGTAATAATGACTTGCAGAACATGCTTTCATAAAGTGTACAGTTTTAAATTCTGAAATTACTTTGCCAGAAAGATGCCTGACAAAATGTCTTAGCATGGCATGCTTTGGTGTCACCTTTATTCAAAGCATGTGGAATTCTTTCCGTTGGAGGTGAGTCCATAGTGAAAAGCAACTTGCAGTGTACTAAAATGCACATAAGTACCTAAAATTTACTACTTTAAAAAAGAGATGGACTAGTTTTATCCATGATAATCAAAGTATATTAGTCTGTAATGGCAAAGAGCTAGAAGCAAATAAGAGGTATTATAAGAGATGGCAAAAAGGTCTGAGTTGGCAGTTTAAAATAGAAATAAATTTTTCACAAATGCATTTGAGAAACTAGGAACCATTAAGAAATGATGAAGAAGATAAAATTATTAATCACAAAGATAGTAAGTGCCTTTCTTCAAATCCTATTTCTATTTAGCAGAAATAAAGCCTGTGTGTGCTGCTGCATGATAAGAGTGTAATGGATGTAAGTAAAAAAAGGAACAAATGAAACACTGCTTGGAAACTCTGCCTACAAATAAATCAACAAATCCAAACAGTTTTCACCAAGGGAACTAGCAAACTCATTTGCAGTTACAGTGACATTAACTAGAACCAGAAGAGTGTCTGAAGGCTGGAGAAGAGCATGAGCAGCTTTTAGCAGAGAACTCAAGTGCATCTTCTATTTGGTGGATTATATAATGGAATACATAATTTATGGAAATCAATAAATGTCTGGAAGGTAATGGAACAATAACCAAAAGCACTTACAGGCTTCTAGCAAATTAATCTTGCCAAACTTCCTTTGTTTTGCTTTCCTGAACACAGTAGTATACCATTAAAGAGAAAGCAGCAGTGTCGTAGAGTTCAAAATACTTCAGAGTATAACAGTTCCCAAAAGCAAAGTTGGATTGCTGAATACATATCAACCTTCCTTGAATTTCCATCTTCACTTAAATAAACTGACTTGACAAGTTAAATTTCTCTTTGGGATATTCTGCCATTTGGAGACAAAGTAAAATAGACCCCATGTGGATCCTGCTTAAGGAAAGAGTCTGTGACAGGAGCAGCTGGTCTTTCACAGAGCTGTATCAGTCTGTTAAAAAGTGGTAATTTTCATAAAAGGTCATAATTTCTTAGTGCCTTTTTATACGGTGGATGTTCTACTTATGTGAGGTCTGTGGGAAGATCCAATCTGAGCACTTAATGTATTATATTTCTAGGTCATGGAATCATAGAATGGTTTGGGTTGGAAAGGACCTTAAAGATCATTTAGTTCCTACCTTCTGGTTTACTTCTGAAAAGGTGCGAGAGAAAGTTTTTATATGTTTGATTTGTTTCTTCTAAAGCGTGCGCAGGAAATGAGTATTTGAGTTACATCACACATTCAGTCAAAACATATCTTGCTTGAGAATAATGCTAAATTTCTGTGCAATTTCCCTTTTATTGGAAAGCAGCAGCTTTAACAGGCTTATTAGGTATAATAAGTGTCAGCAAAGGGATGTGGATTGTCAAAAGGGAACTTGGAGACGGGTCATATGTTGATTTTTTTTTTTCAAAATTTTTTTTTTTTAACAGAAAACCATCCAGGTTTTTCTAGGAGAGAGAGAGGGGGGAAAGCTGAGATTCGTACTAGTTCTCTGTTGAATAAAAATAGTGCAATATTCCATATAATGGCATACTTCTACAAAAGAAGTAAATGAGCCTTGTAAATCTGTACCTAGCTAGCTAAATTATCTGCAGCTTTCTGTTAGTGATCTTAAATTCCTGTAGTTCTTTATTTAGGGAACATGAAACTCCTTCAGCTTTGAAGCATTCAGTAGATTTGGTAAATGAGTACTTTTCATTTTAGGCACTGCATGTGGCATACTTATTTTTCAGGGTTTGCTATCTTGCTGTTGCCTGTACTGCCAATCATTCTGGGGTTTGTGTTTCTCTGTGTTGCTGGCTTTGACTCTGTAGTATTCTTAGAATTATTTAGCAAGCGATAATAGCTGTTAAGTCACAGCTGAATATGCCTGCCTATTGGATTTAGTTTTCCCACAGCAAGACTTCATGGCCTGGTATGCTGAAATATGAGGTTGCATACAGATTCCTTGCTGAGGAGAAGAATAATGAACCTCAAAACACATCCTGTTGCTATTAGCTTTTCAAGTGGATTGAGCTATTCATTGGAAAAAGAGTGTGCTACAGCAATTAAGTTCATCCCTATGCTCGGCTGGCTTGCCATTTCCGAAAATTAGATGGACGTCTGTTTTGCAAAGAGGCTAATGTTTTGTTGATGGTAGAAATTATTAACTAAGACTGAAGCTGGAAACATGCAAGGAATGGAGGTTTGGGACACGGTATGAGGCTGTGAAGGAATTCTTTAACACTGGTAATAAGTAGCTTCAGACTGTTTCACACACTGAACTGGTTAAAACACTCTTAGTGGCAAACAGGAAAGCAGAAAACCATTGGCTTTAACACTGTGCTGCTTGTTTTATGTGTAGGTAGAACCTCACTGTTGAGGCAGTGGTGGTCAGTGAAAGAATTTACTCATTTTAAAATAGTTTTATAAACACTCTGCATCAAGACCGCTTTTCAGCATTTAACATTTGCTGGATACTTTGTCTCTTAAATTAACGTCTTAGTATACATGTGATCTAAGGTAGGGAGTGTTAAGTCCAAGTGAGTATTCTGTTGTTCTTACAGGAAAAGGTACATATGACTTGGACTATATTGAGCTATTAGAGTCAATATGGCAGAGTGTCTTTTGAGGATGAAAAGGAAAATATTAATCAGAGGACTTTGTTTTATCCTTTAAGCTGCCAAAGGAATTTTCAGCTTAAGTATATTTTTTTATTACTTTTCCCAAAATACCGCCATAAAAATACAATGGAGTCTCTCCAGTCTGCGTACTTTGGGAGAGCAGTGTTTTCAAAGAAATACACACTACAAAAACATGGTTGTCAATACCAGAGGTATTCTTTGGGTATAGGAGCTGGATAGTTCTGTTCTTCATTACATTTTAATGTAATAACTGACTGTTTTTCAGGAACTCCAGGAAAGAACTTAATGACATACGGTTTGAGTTTACTCCAGGCAGAGGTAAGGCTCCTGCAATTGAATTATTCTCTTACTGCTTAAAAAGGTATTTTGGAAATTGATTGCTGCTTGTGGTTAATACAGACTGCTTCTCTGGAATGTTTCCTACTGTGCAGAGCTTTATATGGAACCTCACTTGAGTAAGAATTGCAGATGTATGTAAATTCTACTGGCAAGGTTGCATAATATATGTATTAGAAGGCTTGATTTGCAGTATACTTTTACCAATTTCATGTCTTATTGAAATGATCTATGTGGTATATAAGATTGTGCATAGCAATATTTACAGCTTTTGAATTTCCATTTTCACACGTGGAAGACATCATAGGAAATGGAATATAGTAGCCATAAAAGTGTATGTGTGGTGATGGTGGTAATGTTTAAGTTTCTTTCCCTTTTGTAATAAAAGAAAGTCTTTTAATGAGTATAAAGTTCACAGCATTTTTCAGATGCTGTCTTCAACAGAAAGTTCAACTGTATCTCTAGCTTTGTTATTATCACCAGAAAGAAATTCTGATATTGAAACTTTAAATTCTGCTGCGCGCTTGTAGAACTGTATAGGCTTTCTAGTGCTAAGAGTTTTAAGAACTTCTACAGTTACCTTTGTTTGAAGAAAACCAAGTATTACTGGGATAAAATGCATAGTAGGCTGATATGTTGAGTAAGAAGGTATCATCCTTGTTAAATTACAACCCTTTGAACTATGAACACGTTTCATATTCCTCAGAAGTCAGTATTCACTGTATTTAGAATAGCCTTCAAAGAGTTTTCACCTAAAAATGAATCCAGATTGGAAGAGGTCTCTTTTCTGGTAAATCCCAGTATCTATCATGTGCAGTAGTTCTGTGCATGGATATATTCTGTGTTCTCTACCTGCCTTTCTCATTGATTTTTGGCAACGGGTAATAACGAAAGAGACCAGTTACTTAATTGGGCAGAGAGTGTCTTGGTTTGTGAAAAGAGTTACTTGGGAAGCAGTTACATAAGCCATTTGAGAATTCTTACTTGGTTGAACAGTAAGAGGGTATACCAGGACTGTTCCTAGTCAGTCACTGAGGCAGCCAGAAGGTTGCTGTGGTTCTCATCTCCAGAAACTGCAGCTAGCTCAGCTATGTTGATTTTCACCTGTGTGTGTTTCTTGAGGAAATGATGCAACTTCGTGTAACTGCCTCAAAGCATGGGCTCCATACAGATGTTTGGTGTTGGGGACACATTACAGTTGAGATTTAGCTGGAATTTAGCTTGTTCCTACTGTTTCTGCCTCCTTCCCTTTAAGCTTCCTAAAGTCTTTATCCAGGAACAAGTACTAGTGACAGGGGCTTAGGAATTAACCCACTCAGGTACAGGATTTAATAGAAAATCATCCGAAGCTTTGAATGTCCTAAGTCATAATACTTAAAAGCTATTTTAAACCTAAAGCTCAAAATAATGACTGTTCAACTGTGCCTCACTGGTAACAAACAAGAAAGGCTACTCAGCATATCTCTGTCTAGATATGCAGAACAGTGGAGGGGATGAAGAAAACAATGAAAACCACTCTAAAGCATTGTTTATTTTCTTGGTTGTGAAGATACTGAACTTGTAAAATGTGTAGAGTATGTAGTTAGATAATAAACGAAAAATGCTAGTGGCCAGGGTAGGTCTGTAGGGAGTTTGCAGTGAATCAAATCATCAGCTCATGCAATTTGCTGTGCAGAGGCTGATAAGATAATTATCTTTTTCCCTCCTAATTAAAGATAATTTTGAATTCAAGCCTGCCTCCATGGGTGTTTTGGAACTAGAATATATTTTTGTTAAATTGCATTGGATGACTGATACTTTTTGTTGTTTTTGTGGCTCTCATACTTATTCATTTCACCTTTTGCACAGACACAGCAGATGGCGTTTCCCAGGAGCTGTTCTCTGCAGGCCTGGTTGATGGCCATGATGTAGTTATAGGTAAATTACATTTTTGTTTTGCTATTACGCTCTTGTGACAAGTTTGTGTTAAATGGATGTGAAAAAATGTTTTCTCTGATGCTTGGTTTTCACAAAAAACTTTTTTTGTCCTAATTTTGCTTTTATGTATGCATAGTTCAGTCAACAAGACAATTTTGATACCAGTCCAAGGATTGCTTTTGGAAGTCAGAACTCTTCAGTGGTTTGAGAGGGATGATATAATATAGTTCTCCTGAAGGATTATTTACAGTTTAATGATCGATCATTTTTGTGATAACTTCATTTTTTGGTTTAAAAATAAAATGATTTTTCAGTAGGATTTTGCAAAGTGTGCTTTGGCAGCTCTGAAGTTAGTAAGCAATCTATTTGGGTTCATAGAAATAGAAGCAGGACAGAGTTCAGGACCTATGGAAATTGCGCTTAGAGATATTTTTTCTGTGGTAAACAAAGAGGTAATCGGAAATGTTTTCTGGCTGCTGAGAAGAAAGATAATTCTCTCTTTTTCTATTCTGTGCTTCAGTAATTTTTTAAGTTTGTTTTTTTTTTACTTGAAATTCAGTGTGTTGCAGAGATGATTAATTTGGAAGTGCTTATTTCCCTGCACCTCTTTCCTTTCTTCTAGTTGCTCAAGACTGGTAGATGTACAGTCGCCAATATCAGAGGGGGGGTAGTATATGCTAAATGTGGGAGTAATAATTGGAAGAATAGAGGCAAGTCAATTTTTGTGTTGCAGTCAAAGAAGTTCATATCAATTGATTAAGAGATCCTTAACCAAACTCCTAAGTGGTATGAAGAGTGTTTTTCAACTCCGTAATGTAACAGTGATATATAGTTCCCAATTAATCACAGCATTAAAGCATTTGAAATTGAAACAGCTCTCTTACAGCATCACATCTGCTGAAGGTACTTTCATACTAAAATGGAACCATGATAAAGCAAGAAGCCCAGTTTATTAGTACATTGTCCTTAACAACATCTTAGTTTATAGTGACACTGATAATCCAGTTCCTAGAGAAGCCACAGTGTTACACGGTAAATATCCTTTTGCTTTCCTTGGTTTTGCTGTGCCTTTGCTTATTCCTGGTTTTATTTTGTCTTGTTAGATTAATCGTCTTTGAAACTGAATAAAGTGATGGCTTTTGTTCAACTAATTCCAACTCATCTTATTGTAATCAGAAAATGGGATAGAGCTGCATGAGTACCAAACATACTGCATTTATTTATGTGCTCAAAGAGCACTGTATTCTAAGGCATTTTGTAGAAAGTTTTGTGCCTTCAACACGTGCACTTAACTCAGTATTTCCAGCAAGATATGCAAATGTATTACAGGTGGAAGAATATCTCTAAATCCTCAGGGTTTAACTAAGGACTTAAATATTTCAACACATCTGGCTCATTTAGAGCTAATGCACTGAATGGTGACTCATAATGACTAGACTGCCAGGAGTTCCGGAGGCTTGAGGGACATCCGCAGGTAATGAAGTTTTGCATCAATTGCACCAAAGTTATTTTAGCTATATCTGTTGTATGAAAAAGGTGCAATTGAGAAGGTATATTGTGTGAAACTAGCAGGTTTCACCAAAGTTCCTACCCTGCAGAATTTTTGGTGTGGTGGAAACTTAGAGGTACAAGGTGGAAAAAAAAACTGTGTTAGGTGAATAATCACCGCTGCTGTAGTTGTGGCAGAACTATAAATACATGATATAAGAAATTCTCCAAGTGTGCAAATTCTTCATGCATGCGTATATGTATCATAGTGCATGTACTTGTCTTATAGCCATGATAAAGTAAATAATAATTTTGAGTTACTTTAAAGAAAAAAAAAAGAAAAAAGTAGAATTGGCAATTGCCTTCAAACAAAGCTCCTTTTTTCAGCATGCAGTCCACCAGTTCCTACTTAATTGTGTAAATGAGGAATAAATCTCTATGGTTACTAGTGGGATTAGTTTGAGTTCTGCCTGATAGAGAAGTGATAAACTCTTGGGCCTAGAGTGTGTTCTCTGCCCTAGTGGATCTGAATCATAGTTTTGAGGACTTTCCTTTCTGGTTACAATGGAAAAAAACCCACAACTGTAAATTTGAATCAGAAATCGCAAAAGCAGCAATGTAAGGAATGTTCCTATTTTAATAGTAATTTAGTTGCTGTTATTTATTTCCTTAGCATTCACTTCTCTGCCAGTGGTTAGTATGTCAAAATAAGGATTTATTGAGATTCTACAAATTAGAGATATTCTATTTCAGAACCTAACTTGAGCACATCAGGGAGGCTTTTCCAAATATATGTTTCCTTGTTTCAAGTTTCAGATAAAAGGTATTGAAGTAGCCTGGCTGCTATTTCATCTTCTTAATAGTTTTGTCAGAAAAATATCTATAATTCATCGCTGAATTTGGGACAGGAGGACTTGTGAAGATCTGATGGGGAGAAAAGACTACCAAGTAATAATATGCATAGCAGAATGTGACCTGCCTTATTTCTGCACAGACCTGTATTTCAAATCTAGTCCAGTGTGATGGAGATATTTGTTAGAGCTGTCTTCAGCATCTTGATGACTATTAAACTGTTGTTAAAACTTGTGTCTGAAAGCCAGCACTCGCTTTCTACATTCAGTCACAGGCAAATGATTTTTTTCAACCTTGTACTCTGACTCATTCTTTTCTATAGAGAATTTGTGAGCACAATTCACTGTAATATCTCAGGCTTATTAAATATCCCTACTAGCAGTGATTGGCAGCAGGTCTAAATTTTATTTTAAATGTTCATTTGAGGCTAGACTGAGATTTAGAATGCTCAGGATCATCAAAATGAAGGGGAAATTATGAAATCTGTATATACTCATCCCTCATCTTCCTGGATAGTCTTCCCCATTAGACACATGTAGAATCAAGGTCTGAAATAGCTAAGCATTTAGGTATCCAAATATATTCCATTTACCTTTTTATAAACATTGTTTATAAACCTTGTTTTAAACATGCAGTGGTTTGCCTAAGTGTTTTTCTCACCTTCTGGGGGAAAAATTCAATTTGAAATACCAACCACCTATTTTTTAATAACTTTCTGGGAAAAGGTATAATTTGCCAGTTATATTAATATTTTAATTAATCAATAAAAACAGTTACCACAATTTCAGTCTTTTTCCTTTTTTTTCCTCTTCTCGATGACTATAGAATGTAAAACACTACCTTGGGATCAGATATCCAGACTAAGTAATTGAGAATTTAGTAGTTTAATAATGTGTTATTGGAATTGAAATAGGTAGATTTCTAGCACTAACTTATTTCACTTTCTTTTTTGATACAGTGCTCCTGTTTAGTAAAAATATACTGCTTCTGTTGGGTGGGAATTTTCCCATCAGCTACCTAAAGAAAAGTTAAATCTTGTGTATTATTTTATCAATCCTCAGTTTTTCAGTTTTTGCTGTGACCCCTGGTTATTAATACTCCATGTTAAAGAATCTTAATGTGAAGACATTTGAGGTCTATTATTATTCCATAAACTTGTAGTATTTTTTTTTCATTTTGAGCAAGGGTAATTATTTACGGTAATTATCTACGGTTGGTAGATGTCAATCAGGAATATATGACCCTGATGTCTCTTCCATGCTTTTGAGTAACCTAGTGGAACTGGTTAGTTACTAAAGCTTTGGTCCCAACCACCCCTCCTGGGGATTTTTGTTTGTTTAGTTGGTTTTGTTTTTGGTTTTTTGGGGTTTTTTTGTTTTTTTTTTTTTTTTCTTTTGGAAAAAAAGCTAGTTAGTGTCCTTGATGTCTAAAAAGACATGAACTAGGCTAAACCTTGGTTGTCTGTATAGAATAATGAATTAATAACCAAGGGAAATCAGCACAGATTTTGGTACTCTTTAGAGATAGCACAGCATGCAGCTACAAGTATTCTGTGCATAATTTGAAGCATTGTTTGCCACCTTCCTTTACTATTGCCGTATGTTGGGCCATCCTTTGGGAGATGAGGATGGTTTTACTTGGTACTGTTCTTCCTCATGCCCTGTATTTTACACAGGCATGAAACTGCACACATTGCTGGGTTTACTGTGTTTACGCTATTGGGGCTCAGAACTCCTATGAACTACAGGGCACTAGTGGTTTTAATAATTGTTTTAAGCTGTGGAAACTGCGCTGTGAAATTGTAGTCAATTCACTATATCAATTCACTAGGATGCTCTAGGAGACCATTTTCAGTCTCTCTTTCTGTTTGTTCCTTTCAAAATACAACTGCTTTGGCCTTCTGTTGTCCTGTAGCTGTCCTCTTTAAGCTGTGTTTTCTGATTGTAAGGCTGCAAATCAAGCTGTTGGATATTATTATAGTATCAAATGTTGAAATGGAGATATTTTCCACTATATCTACTGATTCAGCAATGTACTTGGAGAATTTAGACAAATTTGTGAGCCTTTGCTAAATTCCTAATGACAGCCTCTTCATAAATAATACATTTCTAAATGTTTTTAATGTTTCTGCCTTATCAGTGTCCAGTATCTTCCTCAGAAGAGAAGCCAGGCTTGCTGTTGATCTTTCTATTTTCTTTTATTTCTTTCTTATAAGACTCATGTCTAGGTCCTTGCAGTTGTCTGTCAATAAACACTTGTTACTTAGCTGCCACAGATTTCCAAGTGCCTTAATATTTCCCTTGCTACTGTTCTCAAGGAACATAAACAGAAGGGATTTTATGACTAGCATCCTGAATGGGTGAACTAGTCAAATCACACTACACTTAAATGATGTTTTTGATCTCTCTTTGAAAAGCCCTTAATGTTTCAAGCAGATAATTTGTGAGCTATTAGATGGTAATAAGACAGACAGAGATCTTTGAGGAATTGGTACCAAGTGCTCTAAAGGCTGATGGTTTTGATTTTTTTGCGTAGTATACTATAGTATATATAACCCCGTGCTAGCTATGTTTTAAAACTTAGTTTTGATTTTGTTCTGAACTTGCAAATGCACAAAACCCAGGGTGTAGTATGAAATATAAATGAACGTGTAGAATACA